CCCAGATCGTACTTAAGAGGATACTAATTCAAGGTAAATGCAATACACGAGTTGGCGCTATTGCATGTGTGTTTCAGAGATGCCAACTTGGTGCACGCACGCACCAAATTTATAGATTCTCTGCACTGACACGTCTGCGTGTTGAGACTTACAGTCCACCCGAGCATAGGCTGTCCGAGTCGCTCCATGCGAGTCGCTTGGATCCACCTCACTGTAATTGTACACTCGCCGTGGATCCGAGCTCTCCAATCATCCAACATCCTCTTGCAACCGTCTGTTATCTCCATTGTCCCACGAAAGTTCCCGATCCACTGCATCCCTCATCCCTGTACCCTGGATCCAGGTCCTTCTATGCAAGATCCTCCCTCCTTGGATCCAAACTCGGAAGTATGGGATCCGGGGTACCTCGCGGTGGATCTTGACTTCTCGTTAGCCGCGGCTACTAGATCCACCTTCGGATGGCACCTACCACCATTTTTTCATAAAATCCACACTCGATCCACTGGTACATAGTATATCCCATAAACACCTAAGTGAATCCAGGTAAGGGTGGATCCGAGATAAGTCTTGGTGGATCTTGCCTTCTCGTACATCGCTCATACCAGATCCATCGTCATTCCATACGGGGTGCTGCTCGTCATGGCTAATCCACCACAGGCAACTTGTACCCGTGCCAAACAACCCAAATCCTCTCTAATCACTTGAAATTGTCACTGATTCGGGATAGTGACCCCGCGTCAGGCCCATTCTCTAATTTCTGCAAAAAGCATATTACCACAATCGCCTCCTGTACGCTGTCGGCGCTGCACAACAGCGTTCACGGCGTGCATTACCAGCATCCACAACCGCTTTCTCCTCTTTGTGACACATGTCTCCCGCCAAGCGTACCGGCCAATCGCCGGGCAAGGCCCCATCCACCACCCCTCCGGTCATTCCTTTTTCAATGTCGCCCACCGATCTGCGGGTTCTAGCCCAGGCTCTTTCCGATCAGGTGCAAACCTTGACGGCGGAGCTCCAGACGGCTCAAGATGCCCAAGACCAAGCTGCGTCTTTGCACACTACCTAACTTCAAACCTTGCGAGCCCAAGTCCATGACCAGGCTATGGAGATCCAGGGGTGGGAGCACCGTGCGGCCTCTCGTTCGCAGGACCTACGACTCTTGTTGGCTGATCAGGCGGTCGAGATCCGTGACCTGACCGGACGGCTGGATCGCGACTCCCGTCAACGAGACGGCATGCGAGATGACAACGACCATCTCCTTAGAGAGATGGCGCTCGCCGGGTCTGAGATCCACCAGCTCCAATCCCGGATCCACGACCTCGAGCGGGATCTGGAGGATTCTCAGGCTGCTAGGGCAGCCGCGGATGCGAGCTTGGATCGACTCCGTGACGAGTTGCGCCTGACTCAAGAGGAGGTGGTAACCAACGACTATGTGGGATCCACCCAGGGCGGATCCGCCTTAGGGTCGGCGCGTGGAGGGTCCCCCGCGCCGAATGCACCTCCCTCGTCGCCGGATGTAGCTCTGGCCCATTTTTTTGAGGAGCTGCAGGATACCAAGGAGTCGCTCGAGAAAGCGTCTGCCGGGCGAGATTACGCGCTCGAAGAGTTCGTGCGTATAACTCAATTGCGCGACAAAATCCAAGCGAAGCTGGCGGACAGCAAACTCCAGCGGGACAAGGCGGCTACCGAGTGGGCGGATGCCAAGCGGACGCAAACGGAGCTGGAATCCAAGCTTCGCCGCACGAGTACTACGACTGCGTGTCGTGTGTTTCATTCGACAGTTCGAGTTGGAACGCACTCGAGGCTGAGACGGAACACCCGAAAGATGGTGAACTATGCCTGAGTAGGGTGAAGCCAGGGGAAACTCTGGTGGAAGCTCGTAGCGATTCTGACGTGCAAATCGATCGTCAAACTTGGGTATAGGGGCGAAAGACTAATCGAACCATCTAGTAGCTGGTTCCCTCCGAAATTTCCCTCAGGATAGCAGCAACTTATTTACGATAGTTTTATGAGGTAAAGCGAATGATTAGAGGATTCGGGGAAGAAACTTCCTCGACCTATTCTCAAACTTTAAATCTGTAAGACCTGCAGGTTTCTTAATTGAACTTGTGGATGTGAATATCAAGTTGCTAGTGGGCCATACGGGGTAAGCTCGTCTGGCGATGCGGGATGAACCGAACGCAAAGTTAAAGTGCCAAAATGCTCGCTCACCTAGATACCATAAAAGGTGTTGGTTCATTTAGACAGCAGGACGGTGGCCATGGAAGTCGGAATCCGCTAAGGAGTGTGTAACAACTCACCTGCCGAATGAACTAGCCCTGAAAATGGATGGCGCTAAAGCGGGCTACTTATACTTTGCCGTTAGCGCGATAGCATTTATAATGTACGCATTAATGAGTAGGAGGGCGTGAAGGTCGTGAAGAAGCTCGTGGCGTGACCCTGAGTGAAACGGCCTTTAGTGCAGATCTTGGTGGTAGTAGCAAATATTCAAATGCGAACTTTGAAGACTGAAGTGGAGAAAGGTTCCGTGTGATCAGTAATTGGACACGGGTGAGTCGATCCTAAGAGATAGGATAATTCCGTTTGAAAGCTGGGCTGTTTGAGGCGTGGGGTTCGACCTTGCGTTTCGTATGCAGCCTCAAGTACGGAATAATAGGACCAAGCTCTGCAGCCGTGGTGAACTCAGCGACGGGTACCCCGGAATCCTGCATTATCCAGTCGGCGGCGGCAGCCTCGTCGTCAGAAGGTCTAAACAGAGAGAGTGCCTCGGCCGGGGTTACAGCATGTCGTCAGGATCTCAACTATCCCGAATGCGGGTTTACACGCACGGAAGTCACTCTGCCGTCATAACCGACTCAGCGGATGAGCACTCCGACGCGCCAAGGAATATGATA